CACAAGTAATAATCCTGCGAAATACTTTTTCTTGGCAACATCTTATCCACATCGAGAGGCTTCAAGCAAGAAATTGAAAGCATGGTGAAACTGTACAATCACAATTATGTACATTTTCATAATTATAGTATTCCATTTAACAGTGAATTAACACACAAGGTACATAACGATTCCAACTACAGCAGCTTACAGAAAAGAGTAGTAATGTTTGTTTATTCCAGTAGATGGCTCGATATTTTTATACGTAAAATAAACGTCCAAGTTATTATAAAATTTACTCTGAATAGCATTTTGTTTTCGAACTCGGAGTAGTTTAGGCTTTAAAATAAAATAGAACGCTACCTTTGCATAGAAGAATTAATTGAATTAGTAATTAGAAATGTTACTAGTTTTGAGGTTACAGAAACGCACAGAATTTTTAAGCATTAAAAGTTTGCATAAATATGTGAAAACTTTTTCCTTAACAGTAAATAGTTCCATTATTTCCTCTGACAAAATTATTTTAATAAATGATATAAAAATTTACATTGGATCTTTTGACTGGAATTGTTTTATAACTTTTTTTATAGAATTTAAAAATATTCAAAAAAACAGACGAAATACATTCTGTCCTTTTTTCGCATACAAAACTTTCATAAAATTCAAAATATTTTTTGAAATTCGCAGCCCTTATGTCATTTCAAATCCTATAATTTGTTACATAAGTCAAAATATTTATGTTGCATGTTATACACACAAGCGTATTAATAAAAATTTAAAAAAAACTTTAATCTTATACAGACACTATCTTGATTTTTAGGTTCATAGATCAAAAATCTAAAAATAATGGAATCTTAATACAGAAATTTTCAATTTTAAAATTTCAATTCAATTTTACAACGCCTTAACTTTTAAAATATTTTTAGAATCTTTTTCCTTCCCTTTCTTGCATTTTTATTGAAAAAAAAAAACTAAAATTATTCTTTTGTGGTCGCTAAAGTCGTTAAATATAAAAAGATTTGTTAACATTTCACTGATATAAAACAAAAGGAGAAAAAGATCCTTTAAAAACTTCTAAGAAAACTTTTTACAAAGTCCTTTATGCTTTTTAAAAACTAAATAAATTTTGCGAATGATAAATTATTATTTTCAAGTCAAAAACTTTTCCAAAAAAAATTTATTCAATATAATAAGAAAATCGGAGACTAATTGAATCCTTAACCGGCATCCCATTTTCAAGGAACTATACAGTGAAGAAAAAAAAACTTTGCTTTGCGATTTATCAACAAGAAAATCCCTTAGAATATTAGAAGCACCACCTATTGTATTAGATTTTGTATATTCACAAAAACTGCGATTGCAGAACATAACAGCTATGCCTTATTAGAGTAAACTTTATAATGGAGGAGGGTCTTGTGAGACTGGATGGCCGGGCCTGAGGTTGCGGCCTTTCTGTGAACCAAACGAAAACGGAGCTGGAAACCCCAGAATGGCGGGGGTCAAGCTAGGCTTAACGGATTGTATGCGATTCCTGGGTGTGATTATGGATTGATTGTAAGCATCTGTGGAAGGAAAGCAACAAATGTGTTATTTGCCTGTCAGGGAGTAAACCCTAAGCTGGTTTACTGGTTGTATGAGTGTGTTATTAAGCCTATTTTGACATTTGGGACGTGGAGTGGTGGCCAGCGCTGCTTCGGAATGGAGAGAGGAAGAAGCTTGGCGGGGTGCTGGGGTAAATCGTGCATTGCGTACTGTATCTACTTTGGGTTTGGAGGCTATTCTTGACTTAGATACGATCAGTGAGCAGATAAAGGCGGTGGCGGCGAGGAGTGCCTTGAGGCTCCAAGCAATATACATACTGAAAAACAGGGATTATACACACGGATTCTGGAGGAATATGAAATGCGGGCTGGGGACGTTAAGTTTGGTTTTGTGGTGCCATATACTGACTGGAAGGTTTATTACGGGGTTGCAGTTCCCCAGAGGGAGAATCGGAGTGCGGAAGGGCTATGCATGCATGAGGAGCTGTCCATCTATACGGGTCGTTCTATGACTATGGATGGCACGGCAGTTGTCTATTAGGCTACCTGATGGCTGTGGGGTTTTCCAGTTAGAGATTGTGGTAGTGCTTAGGGCGGTGGAATTGGCTACAACATGCCGTAGAGGGTTAACACAAATAATATATATTGCAATTGTGTGTGAATGACTGCGTAAAACAATTTGGGTGTCAGGCAATATGTTTACTTTTAATAAAAGCTGAATTTGCTTATTTCCAATCTAACTGCCAGAGTACCTAAAAAGAAATATTAATATTTATATTTCAATCCCTTCTCAACTACATACAATTTCTTGATGGTAGTAATTCACTCATTGATAATAAGTAGGTGCATGAAAGTACGTGCGCAATTTTATATTGATTTCAAATATATTTTCAATAAATTTTAAGTTGTACTCGAAAAACAAATTTTCTTTTAATATTTGGAGCTTGCCTTGCTTGAGTTCCATTAAGGCAATATTAATAAAATTCAATCATTTTAGAATATTTCAAACACCTGTATATGAGCAGCTGCTAACTAGACGTTCACTTTCTGAAATTTGCTTCTTTTTATTCATATTTGATTGAAAATTCAACAAAAAATTCTACTAAAATTTTAAGGAATAATGAAAAGTTTTAAATTTTAACTTTAAGAGAACAAACACTTTTTTGATTTATTTCTAAAAAGTTTAAAGGCTCCCATTTTAAAGGAAAAAAAAATAAAACAAGTTAAAAATAAAATTAAGGTATTGGAATTTCTACAAGCTATTCATTTTTTTGTCACCAACTTATTTAAGGATCATTTTCTTTTATTTATTTTGTCATCATTAAATTTTTCTTTGATTTTTTTTTTCTTTTTCTTGAAACTGAATTGATAAATCGTTGTTATGACTGTTTTCTTAGAAAATCAACACAATAAAATGTATGTGAAGAAAATTTTTAACTTATTTTTAACTGAGATTTTCACACATTATATTTATATGTACATATGTTCTCTATATAGATATACATACAAACATAAATTATTTAACTTGCCTTATTTTTCTTCCTTTTAGACATACTTTTATTTATTCTAATCCTATTTGTAAATATTCTCAAACTATATAAAATTTTTATATTACTAAGAAATATAAGATTTAATAACATTTCTAAAGAGATAAATATTTTGTGTGCAAAAATTCTAAAGAATAATATAGAAAAATAAAAAAATTTTTTTTCCGTAGAAAATTTTCTCTTTCAACCGAATCGATCCTTAATTTTATTTAGGTTGTAATCGAGAAAAAATTTTCTACTATTTTATTTTTCATTACAAATTTAACAATCAAATATATAAGGGTATTGAAATCACCATGATATGCCATTTATATGTGATGAATAATATAGGTAATTTAAGTGTAAATATTAAGGATTTGCAAAAATATCCAGTTAAATGCTAAACTATGTATGTATGTATAAGAAAATCTTAGTTAATATCCTAAAATAATAAATATTCACGTTCATTTACAAATTTTTCAGTCACTCAATTTCCGATTTTATTGAACAAATATTTACATAAATGTTTTAGAAATTTGTATAATATGAAAATGACTTTTACAAATTTAAATTCTATTTAATTCAACATTTATTTTATATGCATAAATTTACCATTAAAAAGTCAACCCTCTTAAATCTTTATAATTCTTTAAAAAAAAATCTCTTGAATTCATAATAAAATCTGGGTATGCTCTTACCCCGGCTCGGTTCTTAACTGTTCGGCACCCTACACGATTTTCAAAATTTGTTCCCTCTGTTTTCAAAACAATGAAGAATATGCAATAAATATTGAGTAGTGTCCCTATTTTCCGGTGCTAATTCCATATGCTTACTTGCATATATGGTAGATCCCTCACTGTTCTTATTATTAATTATTTAACAATCAACAAGCAGCATTCAAGGAAAGAGTATGATTATAGTAATAAGCCAAGGTTAATATTTAAAAAAAAAAAATTTGATGTACTGACTACACACATCCGACCGCAAGGACTATTCACTGGTTTAGCAAAAATATTACACAAAACACTTCTTCCAATATTAAGAACGCTATTATCCGAATTTCCTTGAAAATTAGCCAGTTAGTTGTGGTAACAACTAGAACTCAAATATTAAATTTCAAGAAATTCCGTCAACTAGTTCTGTAGATATGGTTAAAAATATAAAATCGGTCCCTGGTTCGGTTTCCGAGCCCTAATTTTTCAAAAAATTTATAGGTTCAGTGTTTACTAATTTAGTTGAATATCAAATAAATCATATAACACAAAAATAGAATTCATTCATGACAATGAATTTTCCCCGTGATAGGAACTAGTGTCAAAATTTTTTACAAAAAGAATAACCTTAATCTGATCAATCAACTGCACAAATGCTGAGCCCGTCGCTACTAAATTTTTAATTGAAAATTAGATATTGGAAACTAAGCAAGAGCAAGAAAACCAAAACTTTCTCGCAGCAAAGATATTGTTTAGTTTATTGTTCAAACGAGGTGTTGATTATCTGCTCATGTGTTGATAGTTACTTGTACAAGCTTAGGCATAATAATTAGTGAGAATCTTGTTAGCGCAGTTTTTGTAATTTTACGTGTATTGAAAAAAAATCAGTATCACTTTTTTAACTAAGATTCCATATTTTTATAGACCTCTTTAAGAATAATTTTAATATTATAAAAAATAAAAAATGTTTCAACAGATAAAATTCTTCAACAATAATATACACAAAAAAAAATTTCTGTAAAACTCATCATATAATAGCCACGTTTTATATAACTATATGGCAACTCCTTAAAGGCATAATATTCCTGAAGCGTTTCTAAATATTTTTGCCTCTATATGAAAACAAAATAATTTTAATAAAAATTCCTAATATATTTATTTAAGTGTTAATGCTAATAGAAAACCATAAAAAATATATATATATACATTTATACTAGACAATAATAATATTTTTCTCTTACCAAAAATCATAAAAATATAAGCATAAGTCATGTCCCAAAACATTGTTGCATCACGATAACGTAAACATTTATGCTTTGTTTCCTCATAATAAACACCAAAACCAATTAATGGTAGAAATGTTATAATAGTTGCCATTGATATCAAAAACTGAATTGTCCTTTTTACTACATTGTATGTTATGTGCTAAAATATAATATATATATATAAATGTGAATGTTAAAAAAATAATAAAAAAAATATTTCTCTGTTCATAAATGTCTTTATAACATCAAAAATATGATAGGTAATAAAATATATATACCACATTATTTAGAATATATAAGTGAAATATAAAGAAAATTATTAGGTATATAATAAGATTAAAATAAAATAAGAAATTTAACAACAAGGCTTATTATTATTATTAAATATAAATACAAATTTATTCACATACGTACATAAACGCTTTTTAGTACAAAACATTATAATTTCGTCAAATATACATAAAAATTAGCATTTTGTTATATATATTACATTTAAATATTATACCTTGTGATATGTAAATGGTCTTGCTAATGCCATCCATCTTTCAGCTGCCATAACAAGTGCTATACAACCAGAACTTAAACCAAAGAATCTCCATACAACACGTGCAATACAATTTGATCTTGCAAATGTATTACCATTCAAAACTGGTATATATTCGGTCAAAATCAATTGAATTAGCATTCCAGTTAGACCAATTAAATTGTTTGTTGTTAAACATCTGTAAAATAAAATTGAAATGAACAAAAAGAAAAATACTTTATTAAAAATTAAAACATAAAAATTCTGTGGAAATTTGCTGATATTTGTCGAAAACCCTGATGTGAGAGGAAAATATTAAATCTTGATTGTAACAGTGTCAGAGTCTGACGATACTAGCTTGAAAACTTTCTATTAAAAAGCACTATGAGACAACATCTGTAAATATTGAAAAATGTCAATTTTGAGGATATAAGGTTTTGGATAATTCACTGTTTCTTTTATGTATTGGACACAATCCTTTTCACAATCAATTACACCACACTGTTTGATTCCTTTTTAAAATTAAAGTTTTTACTTTCCAAAACAAATTACACTGAAATTATCTTTATTGATTTATTTAATTGATTTTAAAGTTGTCCTACTTTTTATATCCCTTCTTTGCTATTTTAATCATAAGCTTTTAATTTCTTTTTTCCTAATTCATTCTCATATGTTATGCCTGCATGTTGTCCTTTTAATGGATTATAGTGAAACCCAATTATTTTTCATGTTTTCTAAAATATTTTAATTATTCCGTTATGTAAAAGTTGTTGTACGTGTAGATATATATAATGTTATAAATTTTGTTAGAATAAAGAAAGTGGAACGAAAAATTTGTATGAATTTTGAATATCTGAAAATTTTCGTATTCAAATAGATTATTTTTTTAAAGCAGACGAAATAGGACAAGAATTGGACAATGGAATATATGGACAAGAAAAAAGAAGCGATCAAAGTAAGCTTTAATCGAGAAGGAAATGAGACTAAAGAAATTGGGTTAAGCGAAATAAGATGGCCAGGAAGAAATACGTACCAAGAATAATAATACACTCTTGTGGTTGGCAAAACGCTTAGAAGTAGTTTATTAACATGGAAGACCCTCGCAATTAGAATAATATCAATTAAGCTCGACATAAGAATAAAAAAATCACTATAAAGTGCTACGTTCCTACCGAAACCTCAACAACTGAAATTAAAGATTACTTTTACGAACAGTTAACATTAGTACTGAGTTTTATCCCTAAAACTGACACTCTTATTTTTTATAAGGAGGAACTTCAATGGCGACGTAAAAACCTGCCAGTTGAAGTGAGCAGCCAAAAAACGGAACGGCTTGACACTCAAAAAGAACAAACTTTTGAGCTTGACTTTGGAAGGTACAAAGCAGAAATTTATATTACACATATAGCGGGAGCTCAACAGATGCCAGAACAAAAACCAAAAACACAGGCAAAGTCTCTATTGTCAAGCTCATAAAAGGAAATCTTAAACGAACCTTGGATCTTAAGTGAAGCATGGAATGTTACTGAACAGAAAAGAGACATATAAGAAAACAATCATTAACTGACAACAACAAAAATTTGAGGAACTTACACAGATTAATATGCGAAAGAATTAAGAAAACGGCAAATAGTGTGTGATAAAAGAAAGTTCTTCAACAACATAGCCAGAGAAGCTCAAGCTGCTTTCAAGAAAAACAGAATCCATACCAAACTAATATAAATTATAAAAGCCTGTTATAACAATGCCGAAGCAGAACTTAGTTCCACCATCTAGACGACAATGATAGTCAGACAGGGATGATCCCTTTCCCCGTTGCTGTTTATCATTGTATAAGAGAAGTCTACGATGGATCAGTTGCCAGCTCGCAAATAAATTGCAAAGCCTGAAATATGCTGATGACGTCGTTCTATTGACTCACTAAGTTGAAGATATACAACTCATCATAAGTAAGTTAGCAGAGAAAATAGAAAGAATAGCCCTGAAAACAAATATATCCAAGACCAAGCTGATGAAAATTAGCAACACGATTTAGGCCTCCGTTTGCGAAGAGGATACCCCCATTGAGATGGTATCAGAATTCGAATACCCAGGTACGACAATAATAAAGGTATAGATGGCAATACAAGGTATGCCTTTAGTAGATTATGGATAACCTTAGAAGTCAACCCGTATAACATATACAACCAAAATAAATATTCAACGCATGTGTTAAATGAATACTGCTTTACGGTGTCCAAAGCTGACATACAAAAGATACAGGTCTTCGTTAATAAGTGTCTCAAGGTTATATGTGGGTAATGACGAAACAATATCTAATAGAAATGCAAACAAGAAGAAGGTAATAGAAACGGATTGGTCACGTATTAAGGCGCCAAGCAACATCATTAGTACATTGTAAACCCTGACAAAAGGACGAAGAAATGTGGGGACCCCAAAAGAGACATTGAGATGAAGTATGGAAAAAAAATTAGAGCTAACCAATAAGTCATAATTTCCTGTCGGAAACTGACTGGAACAAAACAACCATAATTGGAGAGGCTTTATTGAAGCCCTATTTTAAATTTAAATTTTATAAAATTATAAATAACAATGTATAACAAATATTCAGTAGAGTTTATGCACACATATAACTACATTAAAGTTAATAATAATAGAATAAAATATTCACATGCAACATCCTTTAAATCCTTAATTTTATCCATTTTTACTTACATTCTTAAATTGTTTCTTTAAATAATATTATATTTTATTGCTATATACTTGCGTATACACCAATATATTATAGGATCAGACAATTAAATTTAGCGTGTTATCATTCTATAAACTAATCTCATTCTAAAACACTTAAAATATTTGAAGAAGAACGAAAAGAAAAAAAAATATTATCTTCTCAAAGGCTCTAACAACAATTTATTTTTTTTTTTCTGAGTCACATAAAATCTTCAACGATTTTATTGAATGACATTTTAATATTTTTGTCCTTGATTCGAAGTTTATTATACAAAATCCAAAAATATTTAATTTGCCATAATACAAGAAAATTTTTGTAATCATAAAATGCGTAAAATAAAAAAAAATTTTACAGCTCCCCCATTTTTTGCAATGCTCCTTCTTCTTTGAATAATTGCGAGTGTTTTTAAGTAATTTGGAGAAAAACAGAAAATTCAGCATAAAAAATGTCTTTTATATAGATGATTTTCATTTCAGAGAGATTTTTTCAATTTAAATGGTCTCATTTTTTAGAATTTCTGAATTATTTTTAAATTTAATCTTAATAAAAAAAATTATAATTAAGAGAGTCCTAAAATTATAAAAATGAAAATTTCTTTGAAATTTTCATTTTAAATTTTATTCTATGTTTTTCCCACAGGAAAACACGCAGTGTCTTCTCTAAATTATGCGGTCGAAAATGAAAATTTTGTTTAATTTTATTCTTAAAGGAATTTTTTTGGGATTCAATTAAATTTGAACATGGTCTCGGACATGTTTTTAATTAAAAAAAGAAAAATTTTGATTTCTAAAGAAATTTTAATTTTTTTTTTTAAACAAAAACTTTTGAATCCTCTTTCTAACTCATTATATATTAAAATTTGCTAGGGAAATTAAGAATAATTTGTTTCTTTTAATTATATTTTTTGAATATTTTAAGTTTAGATTTAGATTAATTCTTAGTATTGAGACAGTTTCCTATCACACAAGAATTAAGAAGAAAAATTTATTACTTTAATTAAACAAGCAGCTTAGAGCAATATAAATTGCATATATTTAGGATCGTCTGTATCGTACTAGCGACTGAATAGTAAAATATCAAATTAAGCCACTTATTCCAAAAATAATAGAATTTTTCAAAAGTACATATTTATTTTTTTAACAACCGTTCACTTAATTTAGCTACAATTACCCGAAATATGTGCAGAAATATGTCTGAGCACAAAATCTTAAAATAAATTTTTTTTCTAGCGAAAATTTTCTCTCTTTATCTTAGCGTTTTTATTATTTGAACTAGCATTAACTAATATAATATTTTGAAAAACAAGTTTCTTGCTCTTGAATTTTAGACAAATTTATATAATAAATCTGATCAAACAAATGTAAATGTCCTAACTAATTGTTGTTATTCTTATTATTAATGAAGAAGACAATCTCAATACCTATAACAGCACAATAAAATATTTACATGGTGTTTAGTAAAAAAATTCCACAGGCAATAACAAAATAATTGTAAATTTAATAAAAATATAAAATATTGAAAATAATTTCGTTTTGTCTTAAAATATTCATTACAGATAGAAAAATATGCAAAACCAAACAATTAATTATGGATTTAATAACGAATTTTTATGGAAACATAATCGATTGTACGTAATTCTAGCAAATTCATAGTTTCAGTTTTAACGAGCCAAAACTAAAAATTTACATAAAAAATCCTTTTACGAATTTAAGCGATCAGAAACACTAATGATCTTATAATTTTTAAAATATTGAAATTTTGAAGTAATGTCTTTTAGCATTTAGTGCTTACATCCAATATTTGAAACGTAGAATAGATAAAATCTTTTGTATTTCACACGACACAATACAATATACACATATATGTATTAATTTGTCTCTGACAGGTGAATTACGTGTCAAAATATGACCATATTATTTAAGACAACAGATTAAAGTATGATTCTTATCATAGATACGTATGTGTTTATGTACACGTATGTATCTCTTAATACATTTAAAATAATTTTGAATTAATTCATATACACCTACACAAAATTTAGAAATAATACTGTTTTGTAGCAGATTCTCTTTTGATGTGACGTCCATAAATTGAAGAATATACTACGTATATTCTTTATATTCTTTATTTATTCTTTTGCTTCGTATGTAAGCGTGAAAGGAGATTTAAAGAGAAAATCTTTAATTTCAAATAAAATATTAGTGTAAAGGATAAAATATTCAGGAAAATAATTTTTATTATACATTATATTTATTAAGTTTAAACTTAAAGATTATTTCAGTTATTGAATATGGAATTTTGATTTAAATTTTCAACTTACTAAATACAAAATATTTAAACGTGTAGAATACTTTATTATGACAGTAAACTAGTAATGTCCATTATTAGGCATCATTATATTGCGTTCAAATCAAACTTTAATTACAAATTTACGCCATCTTATAGCTAAAAGATGAAACATCATT